GGAAGTGACAGCAGCGACCGAGTTCAGAAGAGGTTAAACCCCGCGAGCGTTAGTTTTTAGAGGTTGGTTTAGGTCCTGTTCCGTATTTAAAGTTATACCAAGGTGAATAAAAATTGGAAGCTAAAGAAAGAGTTTGATACTCGGCCATCCACGGTACAATATTGTGTAAATAAGCAACGACTCCAATAAAATAGAGATCATGATGAAACTTCATGGATGCGGGTGGACTAAAAATAAACCTGAATAAGACCAAGATCATGAGTAAAGATGACCTACATATAACAATAGACCATCACGTGTTTGATACTATGGAAGAGTACATATTACCTAGGTCATTTAATTCAATTGGGAATGGAAATGGGTATATGGGTAAGGAAATGAGAAATGAAATAAGGTAATTGGAAAATGTTGAGAAACAGGAATAAACCAGTAAATGAGGAGATACAAGTAAACAATATCAGCCCATAAGAATGGGTCACATACTTTCAAGAAACATACATGACACGAGTCAACCGATAAGTACATCCCAAATGGAAGTAACGATAAAGGAAGTAACGAAAATCATAAGCAAACTGAAAAACAATTATGATGAAGTTTGACTATCTTGGCGCGCAAATATTTAGCAGCAGGAATCTGATCGAGGAAACGAGGGCAAACACAAAGAAGGCATCAAGAATCTCAGGAAGCTTGCGAGACGCCATCTGGAACAATAAATTCATGCCAACTGAGAATAAAGTGAGAATCTTTGAAACAACTAGAACGAAACAACTAATGAGCCGTAACGAAAACGCTAGGAACAATCAAAGGAATAACACTAAGGGATCAAATACGGAGCAGTACCATAAGAGAATAATTACAGGTGGACTATGTAGTTAGATGGATGAGATCAAGAAGACGGCAATGGAGAGATCACGTAGATGGAATGGAACAAAATAGAATTGCGAAATAGGCTAAAGACCGCATAGCACAAAGTAGAAGACCCCAAGGCCGGCCACCCAAGAGGTGGTATGAAAGTTGGACATCAGGATCAACTGAGGAAATACAGCAGAAATAACAGGACAAGTCCTATATTAAGAAGAAAAAGAGGAGTAAGGAAAATCAAACGTCTGAGATAACCAAGAGAATTCAACTCAGCTGGGCGGCATACGGAAAACTGGGAAATATGTATTCTTAAAAACCAAAACATCCCTAAAAGTCAAAAAGAAAGGCCTATGACGCATGTATCTTACCCGAATCTACATATGGGCTGGAAACTGTAAGCTTAACGCAGAATACGCTTTAAAACCGCCCAAAGAGCGATGGAAAGATCCATGCTTGGAATCAGCCTACGAGACAAAATGCGCATTACTGAAATAAAGAGGAGGACGTAAGTAAAAGACATAATCGAGCGAGAAGCTGAATTTAAATGGCTGGACATGTGGCAAGGCAGGACAGCAATAGGTGGACATTACGCCTAGTAAAATGGTGACCACGATCAACAAAGAGAAGCAGCGGAAGACCCCAAAAGAGATGGCTAGATGCCATCAGGTAGTCGGTGGGACGAAACTGGCACGAACTGGCCCTAGTTAGGGACACATGAAGAACTTTTGGAACAGGCTTATATCCAGCAGTGAATAAATAAAGGCTGACGAAGAAGAAGAATTAATGTTCCTTAGGAAGTTGATATTGTGAAATTTTATTCATGATCCAGTTGGTAGATGCTAGTAGATCTGATAATTTCTCATCATCCACACCATTTAAAATATATTAAGCAAGCTTGTAAACATTTATGTCTAATTAGCCACTCTGACTCAGCCTGTATACTTTAATAGACTTTTAAGTACCAAACTTTGTTGTTGTGAGGAAAAACTTTCTCTGTTTGATTTGTCTCGTACAATACCAACCAAAAATTTGACAACTTTAAACAAATACGAACATAAAACAAGACCTTTCAACATCAGTTTGATCTTCGGTTCCACTTCGCATGGTTCGATTCCATAATCTTCTATTCTATGACTTAAAAAGTTTGGAAGCTTTAGCCTTTTAAGAACATTTTGAAATATAGCTTAAATAGAATGAAATTAAAACTTGGAAAAACGGCAAACATGTTTCCTTCTAAAATGTGGAATTAGCTTTCCATCTATTTATGATGGTAAGGGGACGTCCATAAATTACGTAAGGTGGTTTTTGACCAGTCGCTACCCCACCCACCCCAGTTTAAGATACCGCAAGATTTCTTAAATTACCCTACCCCCTATAGCCTGTTTCACGTAATTTTGTTTTCATTCTTTGAGAAAGTAATTTATCTACATTTTTAATTTTTTTTCATTAAAGGTAATTTCTTCAAAAATAAAATATATTTGAAATGTTATATGGAAATATATTTGCGGCTTTACTATAATTATAATGGCGCGATATATATATTTACGTATTTATAAGTAACGTAAAATTTAGTTTTTCAACAGTTGTTTTGTCTTCAAGGCAAATCAGTAATAAATAATAAATGTATGTATGATATTACTTAAATTATAGTCGATGAACATGCTTTGGTATGGCATGCACGAAGTTTGAATATAATGGCTATAAACTTTTTCCTTGATTTTAAAATTCTACTTCATCTTAAAATGGAACATTGCATAAGTCTTCCATTCTTACTTCGTGCGCTAAATCCTCAGATGTATCAATGTTTCCCAATTTTTTTTTATTGATTCTTCAAGCCAATATATGTATTCTTCTTCGACCCACTCAGTAAATCTTCTGACGTAGTTTCGTCTTTTATTATACCTACATAAAAACTATTTAACTTCGTCTCGTCGCGATTAGAATGTTTTGGTTTTTTTTTCGACGCACTTGAACTAACTCGATGTTTGATATGTTTTATGCAAAATACATTCCGCGTGTAGCGCATTTTCTTCCTTCCAATTGCGATTGCACCGTCAGGCAAAAGTAATCGATCAGCACAATTATTTTTGCCATCTTTAAAGTTTAAAATAATAAATTTATTCATACATAGCGTATCAGATAAGCTTAGAAAGTGAGCATTTTTATTCATGGAATCTGGCACTTTCAACAGTCTACTTTCTTTGCCTCGAATAATTTGAGAAGGTAGAAAACCGTTAGGTAGATAAGATTGAAGATTACTTCTTAATGGTCCACAAGATTCAATCTATTTGCACTTCGTTATCTTTAAAAAAAATTAAAAAAATGTTTTAAAGTCGTTGTTTAATATGAATTTCAGTAATATATACGGTTCAATCGTTCTAAACACTTATACATCAAGTGCTTTATATTTTTCGAGGGAGAATAAATTCAAAATAATATCACGTAAGACTCTAATTCGCACCCAAACACCGCAAAAGAAGAAAAAGTTAGAAATCGTAATAAATGCTTAGCTTCCACCCACCCAAAAAACACCATAAACAAATACATTAACTTTGAAAACACCGTTTGTACAATCGTGTAGGTCTAAACGCTTATTAAAAATTCAGGTCCCGGTGACTAATAGACGCTATTTTAAATTAACCAATTGCTAATGATTAATTAATATTGCAGAATAACAAAATACCGACAGCATTACTGAACCTGGAGTCAAATAGATATAGAGTACCTACATTAAAAATAGACTGATAAATTTACAAATTTATTAAATTCACATAACTTACCTTGTGGCCACTAAAAATGTAAAATTGCAGCTAAACTAGTCCCAGAAAACAATCACAAAGTTTAACCAAAGAAAAGGTGTACTTCTCAATTCGATGTTCATGTCAAACTGAACAAACTAACAATGATAAGACTAATGAATGGTGTAACTAATTTGACTACACATTTTGTTCGATACAGATTAGGTAAAAGTAGCTATCTTTCGCCAAATACGGAGCTTAAAATGGTTTACTTATTGATAACGCGTGCCGTTGTCACAACAGATACGTTTGTTTTGAAAAACCAATCTAATATCACTGATAAACATATGCCCCTTCACCTGTACTAATAAAGTGATCAACTTTTTACATGTATAAAAAAAGTTATTGCAAGAAAGGTGTCTCTCGTTGTTAAGTAATAATTAATATATGTTTTTAAACTACAAGGGGTGAATCAGTTTGTACAGACAACCATACAAATTCAACAATATAAATAAAAAGATCATATTTTATCATTACAAAAATTTGCAGTTTTTGTTAGCGGTTTAAACAGTTGAGAATGTAAATTAACCATAGCCACTCGGTGTTTACACAACGCGCCAATGGTTATAAACCTTCAACTTAAAATCAAATAAGAAAATAGTAGTTAGTAAAAAAAGTTCTAGTAAAAATAAACAAATGCTTTAGATCTAGTATTCACATATCTTTGTGTGATTTAGAAATGTTTTCATCTTTTCTAAATCTACTACTTTTGTTGTACTTTACTACTTTTTTATAAACACTCGGTGTTTACAAAACGCACCAATGGTTATAAATAAAGCGCGGAATATATGCAGTTAAATTCAATCAAAATATGCGCATATATATGCCAAATTTTTATTCCAAATA